AAGTATGCTTATGAAATTTCGCCAAAATATAAAACAGGCTAATCTCCCTTTAGTTAAAGGTATAAAGAACAAGATAGTGTGGCCTTTTGAGTGGTCGCAGTCTTGCTTCGTTGTATAGAAGTTGTTTGACCTTGTTTTCGCAACTCAGTCATATTGGTAGAAAGACTTAATGGAACGCAGCTAGTTTAGAGTCCATTGTATGCATCATCATTTCCAGAGTAAGACTGTGGAAGTGGTAGATTCCTAGACGTTTCGTCGGCATTTTCAGTGAGTCTCACCATTCGTAGCACCATATTACAACTCATCAGAGACAAGTTAAGCCCATCCTTTGACCAAACGTGTGCTAAACATTTGTGGTATCTACCCTTCTGCCCTATGCTATTCACATTTCTTATATCCTCGTATTATGCCTTCACTGTTACAATTTTTTTCTTGCTTATTTAAATCTAGTGGAATGTGTTTTTTTGAGCGGCTTTCATGAGAACCCTCCACACTCCAGACTGGCCTTCTCACCCCCATTCACCCTTGTGCTGGGAATGTTGATCAGAGTCTGCCATATTGTTACGGGGCAGGAGGGGGACTGTAATAAGACCTAGGGAAGGAGGACTGCGTAGCAATATGGTAGACTCTGATCAACATTCCCAGCACAAGGGTGAATGGGGTGAGAACGCCAGCATGGAGTGTAGAGGGTTCTCAAGAAAGCCATTCAAAAGGGCACCCCACACTAAGTTTAGATAAGCAAGGAAAAATTGTAACAGTCAAGACGTGATATGAGAATAGCCCAGAGCAGGAAAGATACCACAACTGTTTAACACACGTTATAATATATAAGATGGAGGTAGAAAGCAATAAAACCGAGACGCAAAGATTTATTGATCAGCCAAGTTTAAATAATATTTATCAACATATTTCTTTACACTTTGGCCACTTGGAGGTGGCCATTTCATATAACGACGTTCGCTTCGGCATTTTGATATCCAACAGGCCCAAAGTGCTCCAGACATTCTATTATAATCCGCAAAATTTCGCCAGACTATACGGCTTATACGCCAACGTGAAGGCACGCCACGAGGTCGTGAGGTAAATGTACATCGTTTATGAATACGTGTCCAACAGCTATCACGGGGTAAGGAGTGGAGCTGAAGAGAAGCCTTGTCCTATAACAAAGGAATGATAAAAAAGGCATCACAGCATAAACCAAAATACTCAAAAAATTACAGAATAAAAACCAAAATCAAGTAAAAATGCTGGATGATGAACGCAAAAACGTGGCAATAAACTAAAGTATTTATGAATTGCTTTGCTGCTAAATTTTTATGTCTTACTTGAGGAATTAGGAGGTAAATGAACCCACAAGTTATATAGGATTTAAAATTAAAATGTTAAAAGTGATAAAAACAATATATAATCCAGTGGGTAAAATGTATTCAATAAAAATTTGAGAGAAAAGAATCCAGTTATCCGCTTCATTTATCATAATTTTATTCACAATATCACAAAACCTGAATGTCTTTGGGAAGTATCTGATTTTTTCTAATAGCATTGAGTCTTATACGAAGAGGAATGAAATGAGCTGATATTTCCCTTCTTTTAAAATCGCGTATCATTCGCGCATCCTGAAATCCAGGTTTGACTAATAATAACAAAATCGAATCAACATACTCTTCCGCGATTTATATGGGGGAAAATCGCATAATTCTTTTTTCAACATGTTTTCGATAAACTCATTGCTATGGTGTGCTGGTGTCGGCGCAGGTTCATGGGAAGTGGAAGCAATAATAGAAGAAGGTATTGCTAGTGGAGAATGAAAATTCCGTTTCTTAAGAGACGAGCTTAGACAACTCTGCGATAATTTGTTAAAATAGAAGCCAGAATATGGAATACCAATGCTTTTCGTAGAACGGAGAACTGACAAGAAGCAAAAGAAAAGCCGTACGACAGCATTGAAAGAACGCAATATAAATATGCCCATGAAAACGCGAAGGATTATATCGAGAAATGCATTACATGTTAACATTATTATAAGCAAAATTTAATTCACGTTAAATAAAATTTAAGTTTTCATAGTAACATATAAATAATATTTTGCGCACATACAAGCGAAAGTATTATATTAATTTTGCAGTTAAAACAAGTTTATAAATTTTAAATACGCTGATATAAGGGCATTAATATATTTGCTAAGCTAGTCTTATAAATAGTTATTGCTTCAGAAATTGGCTAGAGACGTTTTAAGTTTAGTTGCGACAAACATTAAAATTAACATAAATTCACAGATCTCTAACTTGATATCTGCAAATATAATTAGTTCCTCATATTAAGTTAAATATACATATTTATTATGTTAAATCTACTAAATATTTTCAGTAAATACATAATATAGTAGAAACGATTGTTTATTGCCCCTTCATTTCTTTACGAAAGAGTATCAATAAGATACATAAAAATGCAGACATATAGGGGGTGTTGAGGTATATATGTAAATAATCAGATGTTAGGCTCTAGTAATTAGCTAACGTTTAATCGAATGTATTAAGACCAAGATGGTGCCACCCCATGTGTGCTACTCGAGTCGCTATTTACCATACTCTATATCTGGAAGAGTATCTCGAGTCTAAGGACCCAAGTGATTCTCATGGTTAAGCCTTTGCTTCATGGACCATGTCTATGGTAAAACAGGTCTACTGTCAGCCAACTAGCTCTAGTCTCCACTGCATTTATCAGGTATTTATCGGTAATAACAAGGCAATGACTTCCAATGCCCTAATATCTTATTTACAAACTCATAAATGTTGTAGCACTACTTGCTTTAGTTAGATTCAAAATAGAATCATAACATTTGTGGGTTAGCACAGAAAATACTAGGGCATATTGAGTCATTGGCTTGATAATACTGACAGAAACAGGATAATGAAATGTATTCACCCTATTTCGTGTAAGGTGATGAAGGACGGGTAGTAGAA